CTGATTGAGGTGTGATTATCTGCTGAGAGCTTTCATCATGGATATTCATTGGCTCAGAGTCAGCATGTGATCTCTTGGTTGGCTCAGAACCTTCGTCATTGACATTTATTGGCTCAGAGTCAGCATGTGAACTCTTGGTTGGCTCAGAGCCTTCATCAGATGCAGTCTCCTGGCAGACCCAATGCCACATGATGTAGCTGTGTGTAGAGATAAAACTATTTTTGTTCAATGTACATTTGGACGTTTCCTGTCATTTTTTGTTCTTTGTATGATGGTATCAGTTGCTCCACACTGAAGAAAATCTTTCTTCACCATCCTACCCCATTTTCCTTCCAATGATTTTCTTATGTCTAGCACAGGGTAGGTGAGATATTTCTCAATATCTGTCAGGACCACAGCAACTGCACCTCGTTTCTCCACCATCAATCCACAACGAACATACCCTAGAACCTAATTAACTCAAAATATGTCATGAACTTTGATGCCAATAATGGTCTGTATAAGACACATGCAAGGCCCCCCTACACTTATTATCCACAATAGTCATTTAGGCATAACTAATCCTAGCCTCTCCCATTCAAGTAGATCTCTTGAATTGGTGCGGTAGAACGCCGCGAGCACCATCACGAAATCCTTGCATCCAACTTGACTAAAAGCCAGTACAGTCTATAAGCCAGGAATGTTCGGACATTACGTGTGGTAGAGTAGTCACATACCACAGGACTGCTTTCACTACAACTTTCCATCATCTAAGCTGGCTAGGTACCTCACGGAGTACTACTCGATGTAGTTGCCAGATAGCTACCTAACCTACACTCAGGATACTAGCTAGGAGAGCCATCTAATACAGTTTACATAGGCATAGGTAAACATAATTAACACGTGCACAAAGAAGGGTACAGCCTGAGAAGGGGTAAGCTCTACTGAAAAGACCAGTCTGCACACACACAGGAGCACACTAGGCAAACTTCAAGCTTGTTTGGCTCATAAATCGAGCACGATGGGATGTGGATTCAGTCGTGAAGAAACAGGGCCAGAGGAGACAAGAAGAGCTTTTGCATAAACACTCATGAAGGATGTTTACACAAGCGCTAAGTGAAAGTTGGCATCTGTGAGAAACATATTACCAATTATGTAAGGCAGTCTGTGAATAAAGACACTATAAATTGATGATATGAGAAATTGTTCACATGAAATTGTTAGGAGATTAGAAAGACAAACGTACTTTTGCTGGCCGTCTATTGCTCGTTTTACGGTTGCGAGGAAGCCAGTGTTATCCCCTGCCTCAACCATAGCAGAGAGTTGTATCACAAAATCAGATTTTTTATTTGATATATATAGTGAACCATCATTTTGCTGCAAGTATATTGATGGCTCATCCCACATCATTACAAATGAAATGCCTTTCACCTGTTATGAGAAAGTGTAATGCCATGTAGCTAAGCCCTATTATACATGTATTATTCCGCAAAAACAAACCCACATTTGGATTTGCTTGAGACGAACTTGGTTGAGATGAACTAAGTTGAGAAGTGCACTCAGTGGAATTTTTTATGATTGACTTGCGTTGAGCAATCTAACGGTAAACAGCCATTGTCTATGCACCCAGAACACTTGGTAGAACACGAGACACATGTACAATACACTAGAGGGACAGTAAGTATATAGCTTTATCTCCTGTGCAGTGTCGGCAGTCTAAGTAAGGATGACATGGATGAAATCTCACTCAACACCAAGTTACAGGGCCTTCCAAGGCATTCCATCTTTCTTTGTGGGTCCTTCTCTAACTGATACATGTGTCCGGGTGTCCACAATGCGCCCTGGTATCGTCGCAAGAGGATTTGCAGAACCGTGATTTATAGTGTGGCTGTCGTATTACTTTTAACATTGTGATTTGAATAACCCAGGTTGGTGGGAATGTATTAGAAGTTTATGCCTCTCATAATAATTATGCTATAGCTACCATGCACAGAGTAAATTTTCCCATAATGCTTACCTGAGCAGCATAAAACTTTGAACTTTCTTAACAAAGTGTACATCACCATGCTGTTACCATAATGGAAGACAAAAAAACAAAATAAAATTTTATCATTATTCAATCTAGTGTTATTGACTCACACTATAGTGCAGAGCTTTACTGGAGGGTACAGTTAGTAATAGAGAGACTTGGCTTTTATACCATGCCTGTGTACGTGACATAATCCAACACCACATGAACACATGTGGGATTAATGTGACACCATCAGCTCTCATGCCCTAACACCTGCCAACTTCTGGCATTGGTTGCGGTAACAGACATTTTGGTCCCAAAGGACACACAAAATCTGTACTATTATTTGACTGCAATCCAAGAAATGTCACTATAATATTACCATGCATGTAGATGTATCAGAGCGTCGGTAGACGCTCGATATAGGGATGACACGAGTGAAATCTCTTGGTGGTAGAGGAGTACTCTTATACATAATTATATATAAGGGGAGAAACGATTTGATATACTACAGAATGCATAGTAAGTCACATCCTTTCTGACAGCGTTTTTAACTAGCTATCAGAGAGTCGGTAGACTGTCTATAATAGGGATGACGCGTGTGAAATCTCACGTGATCCGCGTACAAAACGACTAAACACTCGGTGAGAATCACTCCCTAGGCCTTCAAAACACACTAGCAATAGTCTACAGGCCCATATCTACCTATACACGCTCCCAAAGACCTCATACGCACCTTCAGTCGTCCACGCGAGAATTCGCTCATACGCGATTTCACGATTTTCGTGTCATCATAATTCTTCTTCTTCTTCTTCTTCTTTACTGGAACAAGTAGAAGCGCTGATTTTTTCACTGAAGGTCTCCAATTTCGCCGGAGGTGTGCACGGACATCAAGCGATCGTTTCTTTCTTGCCTCTAGTCACTACGGTAGGTCATGGAGCTCTTCCGTGGTCACACTGAACAACGCCATTTTCTGCTAACTCAGCATCTGTGAGCCGCGCGCATGCGCAAGGCAGGGGCGTTGTACAATGCGCTTGCGAGCGTATTATACAAGTGGAAAAATCATTTCTTCAAAATGAAGGGCGATATAGGGATGGCTTGAAGCACCAAAAAGGAAGAAACAAGGGGTCATTACACAGCAAAGATGCACAAGGCTACATGACACCATCGCCATATCTTTGACTCATATAAAACTTCACTTGAGAACAATAACACAAATATATAGGGATGGTATCATGTAGCCTTGTGCAACTTTGTTGTGTAATGACTCCCTTGTTTCTTCCTTTTTGGTGCTTCAAGCCATCCCTATATCCCCTTTCATTTTGAAGAAATGATTTTTCCACTTGTTTCCACTATTTTTCATGCCTTATGACAACATTGCATTTTCAGTCACTCTTATGTTCATGGGTGTTGTAGAGATAACTGTTGAAAGCAGAAGCTAATGGGCTGCTCCTATCTGAAGCAGGGTGTATGCGTAGTGTCTCCAACAAGGATGCAATTAGGTTGTGGCACATATATGGTGGGGTGCTTTCATAGGCAGGCTTCAGTAATCAGACTACAATGATAGCTATAACCTGGGGGGACAAAGAATGAAGGTGCTGTGCAAGGACCGCGTATAGCTAACACGGCGCACACTGCGAAGTTGCTCCTCCTGCAAATCAACAGCAAAACGCAAGATAGCCAGTTAAAAATGTGTATACTGACTCACAGAAGGCACTGGAGGATAAGAATTCCTCTGCAGGCTTCCTGGCTTAGTCTGGTTCACGCACGCTATAGTTTGCGCGCGCACCGCGCATTTTGGGGAAACGCCCTCCCTGGCGCGGCGCATGCGGCTCACTGATGCTGAGTTAGCAGCAAATGGCGTTGTTCAGTGACTATTGTGGAAGGAGCTAGCGGGTCTGAAGAAGAAGAAGAAGAAGATGAAGAATATGATGATGATGGCACGAACATCGCGAAATCGCGTAAGAGCGAATTCTCTGGTGGGGAACTGAGGGCACGTAAGAAGTCTTGGGGCATATGTATAGCTCTAGGTATTGGCCTCTAGACTATTGCTAGTGATTTTTAAGCCATGGTGAGTCATTCTCGCTAAGTTTTGAGGCGTTTTGTACGCGCATCACGGACATTTCACACGTGTCATCCCTATAATAGAGCGTCTACCGACGCTCTGATATTGGTCTCTCGAATACAGTCGTTTAAGGAAAATGTCTCTTACTTTTCAGGCTCGCGTAGTTCTGAAGCCGCTGACATCGCTTATAGGCCGCCTCGCAGCCTGTAGTGCCGGAATGAGCGTCGAGGGTTACCTACACGATCAACCTGCAGTTAGTGCGGCGTAGCTGGCTGTTTCAGTTTCGCCTCTAACAACAGCAATTAATTGATAAACGGCCATCGCTATGTAGGCGAATGGTTTTGTACCTAAACAAGCCTGCTATCCAATTGCTTTCTACATAATACACCAGAGTATTATACTGATACAACGTTGTTGGCTGTTCAGTTAACACTTAACGCTACATTTCAGAGTTCAAAAAGCAGAAGTTTAAAAAAGGTCTCTGTCCAATTCCAGCTGCGCGGGCAGCAGGCGGAAGAGGAAAAAAATTTTCCCAGCGTCACAAGCCGAACTTATTCCCTTTACGCACACCTCGTACATTTCATTTTCATGGTCAGCAGCACTTGCTTGCTCAACGGTGGGTACCTCTGAGGTTGGCTGGCTTCTTTTCGTGACGCATTATATAGAACTATATAGAGTAAGGCACCGATAATCGGACACCATCAATTTTCGGACGCTATACCGCTACTGTTAGTCAGTAATTTTTAATACTAATATGCTAAAAGAATAGTACTTGAAAAATAATCGTTGTATACCAGTTTTCACAATTCTTCGAGCAAATATTCGTTCACCACGGAGCAAAGAAATGAAAATTCGGACTCATGCATATTCGGACGAGGACATCGACCCCCGGACTATCTCCGTCGGCCGTCACTCGCTGATGAAAGGCAGTCGTATGCACTTCCTCTAGCTCGAGCACCACGAGCGTACACAGTACAGTGCTCTATCTTTCACACCCTGGCCGGCACAGCGCTGGAAAATACGAATATGCGCATGCGCAGAGCTGGATATGCCTCGTGTGATACCTTTCGTCTGTCTGTGACTGGCGAGGTTCTGTAGAGGGTAAATCTACAAAAATCGATGTTTATGATGTGTTATTTTGTAACTAGAGTAAATAAACAAAGCGTTTTGTACTTTCTTTTGTAGTTCTCGCTGGAGAGAGTCATTAAAACCTGTCCAGCACAACCACGTGGCCATTGTAAGTGTTAGTACGTAAGGCGCCGTGTTATGAGCTCTACTGTAGCTGGCCTGTACTACAAAATGCTCAAAAACTTGCATTGTCTACGCCCTAGCCTTTCACCTAGTCTGTGCTTATTATCGCATGTGCTTACTTACAATGCTGCACTTGCAGGAGATACTGTCTGTCTGACTGAATACCATTTTACATGTATGTGCTCGTATGGTAAAAGATCGGCAGAAGCTATGCTACACTATGTGTGTCCGACTGTTGGGCTTCTGTGACTTTTTACCACCTCACCGTGGACAACGGTGGGAAGTACCACTTACTGGGAAGGAGAGGCACATCTTTTGTCATGTGCTGGTGTCACAAAGTGTGCTGCTAGTTAGCCTTCTTGGCGAAGGAGGGGCCCTTTTTGTTGGGGTCTGGAGTAACTAGTGCAGTATTAAACATGACTGACTGAGGTTTAGAGTTGGAGAGTATTGTGTGTCCTGTCATTTTGGATGCTGTAGACTCCACCCACCGTCTTCTTGAGTCATTAAGCTCCAGTATTTACTCCTACTTTGTATGACGACTGAGAGTAAGATCAAAGGAATTCCAGCTAGTCCAAACAAGTAGATGAGTAGTGAGCGCTTCCTGCTGAGTTTACGGGTAGTTATACCATAAAGAGGCCATACGATTTCCCCATACTTTAGCTCATTTGCATAAACCACAGTGGGTATATGGCAGTTATACGATAGTAGGAAATTGGCAGCGAGTAATGCAATTGGGGGGCTTTTACACTCTTTGTTTGCTGCTGTTTCTTTACCAGAAGGGAGTGTTTTCAGGCTAGAAATGCCCAGAAACTTCTCTAGTATATAAACTAGCGAAAGCTGCTTCCCGACGCGTAGGCTCCCGTGGACTTGAACAGTATTCGGTGACTTTCAGCTTTCTTGCTACTGCAACAGGCTGCATTCTAAGGAGCACTGGGTATAGCGGGAGAGAAAGCGAGCCAGAGGGGCAGCTACAAAACTTGCGCATGGGGTCTAGCAGCGATAAAGAATAGCTTTGACATACCTGTAACGCTGAACTCTCGAGAAATGCCCGTGGCTTCTGCAAAACTAAACTAAAGCGCTTATTGCAGCTGTCTCTCTCCCGATTGGTTGCTAGCTCTCTAGCTGCGCACTCGAGGGTGTGCGTTAAAAACAGGGCGTTTTGAAAGCATGTAGCCAGCATCTGTTTTTTACAGATGCTAAGGAAGGGTGATCTTGCTCTCAAAGATCGTGTACTTCGATCACCTGGTCATGTGTACCATCTGCCGCTTTGTCACCATCGTTCACACAAGTACCAGACTCAAGCTGAGCACAAGGAACGGTTTTCAAGGGCCCTGCACTCGGTACAAGAAGGAGGAGTATCTGTCAGGAGAGCTGCTGAGGAGTTCAACATTCCTAAATCTACACTTCACGACCACTTGACTGGGAAGGTGGTGGCTTTTGGACAGAGTGGCCCCCCGGGGTATCTCACAGATGAGGAGGAAGAGGAGTTGGAAGAATTCTTGTCAGGCTGTGCTTCAGTAGGCTTTGCCAGGTCACGGCAGCAGGTTCTTGAGCTAGTGCAGGAAGTGGTGAATCGGAAAGGATACACAGTGCGTGTAAGCCATGGCTGGTGGGATTCCTTTCGGCGGCGGCACCCAAACCTGACACTCCGTACTGCATCTCCTCTGTCATATGCGAGAGTGATGGGTAGTGACCCCACAGTGATAAGCAAGTATTATGACCTGCTGGAGCGTACCCTCTCTGACAACAACCTCCTTGTTAAGCCTTCCCAGATTTTTAACCTCGACGAGACGGGAATGCCACTCAACCCTGCACCCCCTCACCTGGTTGCCACTCGGGGCATGAAGCATCCCAGTGCTGTGGGTTCAGGCGACAAGTCCCAGATTACTGTTCTTGCGTGTTGTAGTGCCTCTGGATACGTTCTCCCCCCATTTGTCATCCTTGATCGGCTGAATTTGAAGCAAGATTTTACAGTTGGTGAAGTGCCTGGCACTGTTTATGGCCTGTCGAAGAAGGGGTGGATTGATGGGGAGTTGTTTGAGATGTGGTTTATCCGTCACTTCCTAGTGCATGCTCCTCCAGTTCGCCCAATTCTGCTGCTAATGGATGGGCACTCCTCTCATTATCAGCCATCTGCTATCCGGAGAGCAGCTGAGGAGGGCATCATCATGTTTCTCTTGCCACCACACACATCACATCTCACTCAGCCACTGGACAAAGGCTGCTTCGGTCCTCTGAAAATGCACTGGAGGAAGGAATGCTGGGAATTTCTTACTGCTCACCCTGGCCAAGTTGTCACAAGACACCAGTTCTGAGCCATTTTCCATAGAGCATGGTCGAAGTCCATGACAATGACCAATGTCATTGCTGGCTTCAGAACAGCTGGTGTGTACCCACTGAATCGTCTGGCTGTGGCAGGCAAGAGCAAGACTGCATGTGAGTCATTGGCCGAGAAGACGGGGTTGAAGTTCATCCCACTCTATAGTCCCTCACACCGTAGAACGCAGGCTGTGAGAACAGGAACAACCTTTGAACCAGAAGAGATGACACTCTTTCAAACACGCTTTGAAGAGGGCTATGATTTGGGGGATGAAAGGTATGAGTCCTGGTTAAGAATGTACCACCCTGAAGTGAGGGCCAATCAAGACGACGAGTGTACCCCTGAGCCTTCTCTTTCTGATAGTCTTCCCAAAACAAGTACCCCAGTCTCTGGTAACATAATGCCACGTTCTTCTTTCTTGTCTCGTGTCTTGGCTGACCAGGCACCTTCAATCAAGTACCCTGACAAAGTGCCGGGGTCTAAGGGTGGGGCGAGAGTTTTGACCAGCTCAGAGAATTTAGAACATCTAAACCAGAAGGAGAGAAAAAAGGAGGAGGCCGCTAGTGAGAAGCAGAGAAGAAAGGAGGAAAGAGAGAGAAAAAAATTCTTATTGCAAGAGGAGAAAGAGAAAAAGAAGTTGGAACGTGAAAGAAAGAAAATGCAGAGAGAGGCTCAGATGGAAAAAGCACGTGAGCTGTAGTTGCTATTTCTAGTGTGCATTGCCAATTTGAGGATGTGCACTCAAATACATATCAGCAGTGCATGTCGGCAGAGAACTCACTTTTGTGCACTACCGACAGGCACTTGAGTGCACCACATAAGTGCACTACCAAAGTGCACTTGGGAGCACTATTCCTGCACGTTAGTTTTTGAGTTGAGAGCTTATTGCCTGAGTATATACTATGACAAGTGCACATCGGCAGTGCACTCAAGTACCCTTCGGCAATGCACAGTGCAATACGATAAGATAGCCTGCACAATCTCTCACATCCACTTCAATGTTTTTTGTGTCACTTGCACCAAGTTTTGAGCACACTCCTTTGGCACTAGGTGGTTCCAAGTCTTCAGTTGTGGGCACCTCGAGAAGTGGACAATATTCAGCAGAGCTTCAAGCCCAAGAGAATGGTACATTAATTTCTAGAAAACAATTTTGGACGTCTCTCTACCTTGGCACTAGTTGGTGATCAGTCTAGAAGTGGGCCGGATCAAGAAGAGCTGCAAGCCCAGGAGAATGGTACAAACAGGTCTTTTGAACAAACTTTACGTCTCTCTCTCACACTAGTTGGTCGTCAGTCTGGTTCTGATGGGAAAGGAGACGTTGAGGAGCTGTCCATACCTGAAACTCGCAGCCGTGCGAGAACGCAAACTGGTTTGTTTGTATGTATAGAATTATTTTGTGTCTATACACTTGTTCCACAGGTACTGGTGCATTTCAACCCGCTTCAGTGGGACGTGGCAGAGGGAGGCACAAGTCTGGAGTTCAAGGTAGAAAGTTCTTATGGACAAACACTTTTAACACTTCCCCTCGACACTAGTTGGTAGAAGTGGGCCAGATACAGCAAAGCTGCAAGCCCCAAAGAATGGTACAAAAAGAGCTCTTTTGAACAAATTATTAACATCTCTTTCCCTTGGCGTTTATCTCCCTCACACTAGTTGGTCGTCAGTCTTGCTCTGTTGGGAAAGGAGATGCTGAGGGGCGGTCCATACCTAGAACTCGCAGCTGTACAAGAAAACTCACTGTACCAACAGGTTTATTTGTGTAGATTTATTGATTAGCACTCCATGTGTATACACTTGTTCCACAGGTACTGGTGGAACATTTCAACCCGCTTCAGTGGGACGTGGCAGAGGGAGGCACAAGTCTGGAGTTCAAGGTAGAAAGTTCTTATGGACAAACACTTTTTAACACTTCCCCTCGACACTAGTTGGTAGAAGTGGGCCAGATACAGCAGAGCTGCAACCCCCAGAGAATGGTAGAAGCATCAAATATTGGACGTCTCTTTCACTCGGCGTCTCACTCACTCACTCACTCACTCACTCACTCTCTCTCTCTCTCTCTCTCTCTCTCTCTCACACACACACACTAGTTGGTCGTCAGTCTGGTTCTGATGGGAAAGGAGATGCTGTGGAGCGGTGCATACCTAGAACTTGCAGCCGTAGGAGACCACAAAGCAATAAAACGGGTTTTATACCTTAATATGTGTCTATAGGTACTGGTGGAACTTGTGCATTTCAACTCGCTTCAGTGGGACGTGGCAAAGAGAGGTGCAAGTCTGGAGTTCAAGGTAGAAAATTCTTATGGACAAACACTTTCAACACTCTTCCTCGACACTAGTTGGTCATCAGTCGAAAAGTGGGCCAGATCCAGCAAAGCTGCAAGTCCAAGAGAATGGTACGAACATTTCTAGCGAATAAATTTGGACGTCTCTTCCCCTCGGCACTAGTTGATGATCAGTCTAGAAGTGGGCAGGATCCTGAAGAGTTGCTAGCTCCAGCGAAAGGTACACACATCTCTAGTGACAATTTCTCTTTCCCTCTGCACTAGCTGAATGTCAGTCTGGTTCTTACTTCCAATATATCTATGTGTGCGTAACTGATTCACGTTTCCTTTTAGAGCCTACAGAGTGCACCCTGAAGTTGTGCAGGCACCCAAGAGCATTCAAGTGGGTGCAGTGTGGATACTGCCACAGATGGTTTCATTGTGTGTGTGGGGGCGTGAAGCCTACCCAGGCGAAACTTAATACTTACCGATTCAAGTGTATGTTTTGTTGAAAAGAAGTTCAAAGTTTGCACTGAGCCACACTCCGCGCATGCGCCGACAGATCAGCCTTGCCCTTGCCACCGCGCTAGTCGACTGACCCCACCGGAGCCTAGGCAGCACTACACCGCAGCCCTATTGTCAGTAAAGATGGTGGGGCTTGCTGGGGATTAGCTAGAACGCTGCCTAGCTGGGTAAGGTTTCCTCTGCGCGCGTGCAACGCAGTCTCGACGCAATCTCCGTAATCGTAAGGATTATGCGGAAGTTTGAGCAGTTTAGTCGGTTCGTTGGTCTTTGTCGCGCGCTAGGCTACCTCGAAGATTCGAGTAAAGGCCCTACTTTACTCCTAGGAGCACGTAAAAGGTGGGTCCGGCGATCGATGGCCATGTCCGAATATGGGTGTGCCCGAAAATATTTTTTGCTTAGTCAAATCTCGCGAGTCGTGGGCAAAAGCCGAGGGGGCTGGGCAAGAATAATACTAGAGTGTCCCACTATATACTATGGTTTTAGCATAAAGTGTAAATAACGGTTGGCGACGGCGTAAAAGTGTCCGCTAGTTGATGGTGTCCGAACATCGGTGGCTTACTCTACTGTCCCACATTCTGGAGCACAGAAAATTTCGAACCCGTCGTTAATGGTTGTTTGCAGCGCGTTGTTGTTGCCCAGAAAATCGTCGTCGGCCGCCTTCTGGCACCGGGAAGCCTCCTCGGAGCCGTCGCCGAACGCTTCGTTCACTTTGTTGCTTAGACACTGGATCTTTTCGGGCCCCAGGTCGGCGACTGCCTGGCGCTTTTCCACCGACTGGTGACCTGCAGCGTGGCTCAGTACGCCGTGCACAGCGACGTGAGGATCTGCGTAGCAACCTGCTACGAGGAGGAGAACGGGAGCGAAGAGTAACACGGAGGCAGACATTGTTCGACGGAAACAACCAAACGCTAGAAATCACGTGACATTGCGAAATTACGTCACGTAAAATTTAACGCGGGCCCGGCGCGGGCGGGGGCCAACGTCAATGGAGACCTCTTCTTTACTGCAGGTTTTCTCGGGACTCAGGGGTGGTGGCAGAGATGCTCATTTAGAGATGCAAACTATGGTTACTACTCTCCAGAATGAGCTACAAATTCGCCCACCTCGGCGGGCCTGTACGCGGACACGCCTATTTTTATTCATACTATATACAGTTCGTCCATATCATACGTGTACATTTTCAAGAAACCTTGGTAATAGCTTCTAGTAAGCAATAGAACTGATGTCTCTTGCTGCTTTTACCCATACGCTTATCGAAATTCGTCGAAAATATTCATTTTTCGGCTTTTTTGGACCCAATTTGTCCGCTATTGGACCTATAATTATACAATACCATGCCCTTTGAACCCTCCCCTCCAAATTTAATATCGAAGTGAGCACCGAGAAAATTCTGAAGCACAACACCAAAAAAAACAGTTTTATGAAGCACCTGTAGGAAGTGTCTTAAAGTGCAGCGATAGGTTTTTAGCAGTATAGTGGCGGCATCATTCGGACATGGAAAATCTGAGGACATGCTGTTTACAATGGAGAAGGAAGTGGGAGACTCGGTGGATGAGGTGGAGGAGGAAGATAAGAGAGCGGAAATGACAGAGCTTAGCTGCAACAAACAGTATGTTGCTCTACAGTTCCAAAAAAACTCACCATGGACAAGGAGAAGAAACCAGTTTCTCCAATACTGTTCCTGCAAGCAACTCTTCCACAAAAGAGGCCCTGCCCTGTCTATCAGTGCTGAAGAAATGGTAGCTGGTGAAGTTCAAACCCTCCCCCACCACCATGGTGACAAACAAGCATCTGGTTTCTCTGGTTATGTCACCTCCGGAAACACGACACTGTCCGACCACCCTGCAGAAACGATCTCTGCTAGCCAGTGTAGTGCCACCCTTAAGTATTGGTTATGCTATTTCAATCCCTACTCGTGTAGTACTGGTGATGAAGATTTTGGTAGTGCCACCCGAAGCTGTCGTAGCACTAACGACAGCAGTGACATTTCAAGCCATTGCCCTACTTGCGATGATGGTTATTTTAGTACCAATTCAAGTTGTCGTCCAACTGGTGATAGTCAGCGGAGCAATTCCCCAGACATTAGTATGGAGAAACACTCTCACAGTGCCTTTCTAAAAGCAAAGAGCAGGGGTAGTGGCTCATCCAGGACCCTCTCGGTCCCTGTTCATGGGTCTGATCCCTATGACCTGCCATACAGTGTAAAGGAAGAAAACACCATCTCTGAATCGCACATCCAGCAGCGTTCACAAACCTGGGTTCACCCTAGTCCCGTAATGGAACAGACAGGAGAGGCATTTCCCACAGTACCTGAAATTCGTATTGTCTCCCCAGACAACGAGCCAATAGTAGAAAGTTCTGGTTACATTGAGGAGTTCACTTCGCAAAATGATGATGCCATTGCAACCTCCGACCTCACTGATGTAATAGGTGTGGGTAGAAAGTTCACAGACAAGGCCAATGACTTCAGTCTGGAGATCCCAGTGGGAGCCATTCCCGAGGGAGAGAGACTCACAGTTGACCTGGGGGTGGCCCTCTCTGTCCGATTCGAGTTCCCAAAAGGTCTGAGACTTGTGTCTTCCGTGTTCTTGATCTGCGCCAAGAAAGAATCCCAGTTCTGCAAACCAGTCTTAGTCACCATCCCTCACTTCCTTAACCTTACGAATGATGACGACATCACATCTCTGGGTCTCACTTTCCTCAAAGCAGACCACAACAAGAACTCTGAGGGTCTGTACGAGTTCAAGAGAGCAGACGGACAAATGATCTTTGAACCTCACAAGAGATTTGATGTTCTTCACACAACTCACTTCTGCTCTGTCTGTATCGCCTGCATAGACGATCTGCAGAGTCTTGAGAAGACAACATTCTGCATCACTTCTGTGCTACCAAACACCACCATCCCAGTTGGCAGGAAGGCTTATGGCTATTTCTTTTTAACATTTCTCAACCTAAGGACATGTCTCAGGAGACTGGATGAGATAATAAAAGGAATGAACTTAGTCGGATATGATGTGAAGAGTGATGCATTTGAGTTTAAGGTTACGAATTCATCGGAAGAGCCAGCACTAGAGATGACCATTACCCAACCAGAGCATGGAATAATTGGTGTTAATGGAACCTGGACTGTAAGTTCATGCATGATTCATGCTGTGGCGATATTATGAGAGTGAATTGTATTTCAGGTCCAACATCATAAAATTGACTTCTTCATTCGAGAGCCAGTTTCAAAGGAAAAGCTTTTGGCAGACATGTTGACCAAAGAGAATGCCGGGTTTTACCCTCCAAGAATAAATGTCTTCTTTGCTTCTACGCCAACCGATACTACTCCGGTCCACAGCCACTACCCAAACCCACAGGGGGCACACCACACAGAAAATGACATTGTACCACCAGAGTGGGGATGCCACCTCACAAGCTGTGGACTTTCAATTGTTGTTACCCAACATGTGCCTATGTGGAAGCTACATGGTCCCTGTGTGGCCTGGTTATCCAAATTCTCAAGTTACTTTTACAGTAACAAAATGCAATTAGCAAAAAGTGTACAACAAAACTGGTCAATGTTCCAAACAGGTCAGTCTACTTAATAGTATCGACTCCCGCATGCTATCTACTACTGTAGCTAGTCCGTGTCAGACTCTGCGCGAGTTACTAACGTGGAGACCAAGATCAATTGGTGGTTCCGCGCGTGCGCAGTTCGCCAAGGGTTTGCACTTTAAATTTTAGTTAATTACGTCTAGCTATACTACAATCAGAGCGTCGGTAGACGCTCTATGTAGGGATGACACGAGTGAAATCTCACGTGATCCGCGTACAAAACGCCTCGAAACTCGGCGAGAATGGCTAGCTATGCCTTCAAAACACGCCAAAAATCTCTCACGGGTCCATATCTACCTATACATATGCCCAGAAGTTTCATATGTCCCTGCAATTCTCTACACGAGAATCCGCTCCTACGCGATTTCTGATTTTCGTGTCATCATATTCTTCTTCTTCTTCTTCTTCTTCTTCTTCTTTAGACCCGCTTTCTCCTTACCAGTACCAGTTGGAGCGCTGATTTTTTCACTGAACGTCTCCAATCTCGTCCGAGGTGTGCACGGACATCAAGCGATCGTTTCTTTCTTGCCGCAAGTCACTACGGTAGATCATGGAGCTCTTCCATGGTCGACACTGAACGACGCCATTTGCTGCTAACTCAGCACCAGTGAGCCGTGCGCATGCGCCAGGCAGGGGAGAGCGGACCGCGTGGTGCTAGCCGTGTGCTCCGTTTGGCGGCTTGTTTTTCGCTCGCCTGAGTTTGCTCCCGAATTTGGGCCTAGCTATCCGTCTTGTGGTAAGGAGTTACTATTGTGTGTACTTTAGCTAGCTGCAATCCAGCTCATTGTGAATTTTCTTTCGAGGTTCCACGCGACGAATTTTCCCCACGACTTCACGAGACAGCCTCCACGTGACACTCCGTGTCTGTCTTGTCCGCACTGCTGCTACTATTGTGCTGGAGTCGCCACGGTCAAAAGTAAGTCTTGCTATTGCGATTACGAATATAAATCACGTATAATTTACTCCAAGGTCTGTGCAGCTTGGGTTTCTGGAGTTGGGGCCACAGTTAATTATGATTCAAGGCAAGTTGTCTGCATTACCCTCATTGCCTATTTTAATAGGGGTGCCTGACAACTCTCCTTCCAGTTCCACCTGCATCCCTCGGCCTCTAGCCAGCACTTCTCTGCTGACAGTCGTGGCTGGTAACAAGAACCTCACCCTGTTTCTTCAATCGCAAGGCCCTCCACTGCGCTCTACCACCGCTCTGCTGTCGTCACTGCCACCCGGGCTTCTCCATCCTTTGAGATAAGTTCAAGTTTTTGCCTTATCGCTTGAAAAGGAGGGCAGTAGATATTATGTGCAGAATTCCGAGAATATAAAGGCTAGAGGTAGATCCCTTTGTCAGTCAGACCCTGGTAAGCGGCTAGGGACCTCCTATCATGCTGACCCTGGTAAGAAAAAGGCAGCTGTTGCCCAGTTGAAGGAAAATATTGCTGATATGGCTGCACTATAGATGTAACACAGACAGTGGGAAGGATACCCAGCCATTATAAGATTATCTGGGAGTTGCTTGGCAGGTGGGGCTCTGAAGTGTTTTCCCTTATCACCACTGCTGACTTGTACATTCCTTCACCCTTATCCCACTTCCAACCTAGCCTTTGTTACAGTAACAACTCCTATTGTAAGCCTACTCCTTACATTGTCTGTCTACTCCTCTGTATTATGGTTTGATGTGCTATATGTTCAAATGGGTTGGACTGCAACTGCACTCTCAAGCTACAACCTGAACCCTACAAACTTCTGGCTTCTACTGCCCAGTCGCTACTAGCTATATACCCCTGGCCTCCACCTTTCACTTCAGCTGGAATAGACCTCCTAAAGAAAAAAACTTTCATTCACAATTCACAACAAAGCATATTGTATAATGAATGTTGGTTTAGTTTTGTACTTGCGCATGTGCCCGCTAGTCTCTCACGCAAGAATTGCGCAAAATTGCAAACTACGTCACGACCATCGCCCCCTTCCCCCACAATGCACTGTGAGTGTGTGTGTGATCAAATCTTCAAGTCACAAATATGCAGTGCATAAATTTCCACCCACGCGTGTGTGAACCCTAATGCGTGCAGCCCCTCGCTTGCCGCTCTGCACCGCGAAAAGGGTGGGGCTGAGCATGTGCCAAAAAAGTAAGTGGAACAAGTGGAAAAATCATTTCTTCAAAATGAAGGGGGATGTAGGGATGGTGTAAATTATGAAAAAGGATACCAACAAGAAAGATGCTTCGGCTGAAAACAAAAATCATACATCCATCCCTACATCTTTCTTTAACCTCCCCTCCACTAACCTATGAGACAGGGTTCAGAGGTGAAGTCGCAGAGAGGGATGGGACAACCTCAACTGTGATTTGTTATGAATTAGTATACCCTACACCAAAACTGAGTGCCTACACATTCTTCGACAGAGCTGAAGAAAGAAAGATGTAGGGATGGATGTATGATTTTTGTTTTCAGCCGAAGCATCTTTCTTGTTGGTATCCTTTTTCATAATTTACACCATCCCTACATCCCCCTTCATTTTGAAGAAATGATTTTTCCACTTGTATAATTTCACTTCAGTTTTTCAAATTGTTTGCTGTTCATTGCTGCACCAGCTGCAGCCTCCAGTAAGCTCAGTTGTAGTAATTTGCATCTGTTCCCAATGTAGTGGGAGCCTGGAATCCTGAGGCCGCTTTCCAACCGCCTTCGTCTCCGCGATTCCCGCTGATTGCTGGGCCGTCTTGGAGCAAATAACGTTGCGTCACCACGTTTTCGATAAAATACTTGCCGTCCTTTTGGGGGATTATTTTCCAGTAGGCTAGATTGTAGTAATTTGCATCCGTTCCAAGCGTCAGTGGCGCCGCAAAGCCGCTCGACATTTTCCAGCCACCTTCGCTTCCACAGTCACCTTTGATTGCTTCGCCAGTTTGGAACAAGTAACGCTGAGTCTCGACGTTCTCGAAGATGAACTTTCCACCTTCCTGGGGGGTTATTATTCAGTAGGCACGGTTGTAGTAGTTGGCGTCAGTTCCAACAACTTCAAGCCTGACTCTTCTGTCCAACCACCTTCTCTGCCTCGGTTTCCCTCTATCTTGTTACCAGTCTGGAACCGGTAGCATTTGGTCTCAACATTTTCAACCAAATAGCTAGACGCCGTTTGCAGCTGACATCTTGTCTGGCTGTCAGAATGGAGAATGTGGTTTACACAGATGATCAATTGAGCTAATAGTTCACGTTTCAAGGAGTTATGGCTAGCTACCAACAACATCTCTATCTTTTATATTTGCCTGTTGGGACCAACTGTGCAATTTAGCTATACACAAAACAACGTTAATGCGAAAAACGTCTGGACAATGAAGCCTGACACGCGACACAAAGGCGATCGGCCCGACAGCTGAAAACATAATGAGAACAGCATTGGGAATATATCACTGCTTACTGCAGGATTTAACTTTGTCTCAAAACTGACATTATAAGCAAAGCCATTAATATGATTATTCGGTAGTGCTATAATTATACGTTCATATTGGCCTACGTATATAAAGCGCGCGAACAATCCCGCATTCAGACGACCGGACGGGCTCGCTAGCATTTACTCACTGCGTGGGCAGTGCGTTTTGAGGTTTCACCCCACAGTTAGCTACAGCACTCAATTACATGTGAAATGGTTAGCTTCCACATAATCTTCCTGCTACTGCAACAGTTCCTTCGGCTTTCATTTTTATTTATAATCATACACAATAGCCAAAAGCTAATACATGGTGTATGAAAATTAACGATTAAATATTTAGCCATTCCTTCAAAGATGATTTGAATGATGGGAGAGTTTCAGATGATCTTATATCAAGAGGTAACTTGTTCCAATGTGAGCAGGTATTAGGCACAAATGAGAAAAGATACGAGTTTGTAAGGGAGAACGAATTAGCCGTCTGTATTTGGCATAGTAAATTCCTTTCATATAAAGTATAGCTACACTGGACATCTCATTTCCTGCCAATGTGCCCCACCACTAGCATGGCCAGTTCTGAGAACGCAAGATATCATACTATGATGTAAGGCTGAGATAACAGGAGCCATGAAGGCTAGACCTCTGCAGCTAGTAGTTCCTGTGAAGTTAGCATTTTTACCAGAACCCTGGTCCCCATCGCTATCATTTACTCACTTCCCTTTGCGCGTGGGCAGTGCGTTTTGAGGTTTCACCCCACAGTTAGCTACAGCACTCGATTACATGTGAAATGGTTAGCTTCCACATAATCTTCCTGCTACTGCAACAGTTCCTTTCGGCTTTCATGTGAATTAGCCGTCTATATTTGGCATAGTAAATTCCTTTCATATAAAGTAGCTACACTGGACATCTCATTTCCTGCCAATGTGCCCCACCACTATATAGCATGGCCAGTTCTGAGAACGCAAGATATCATATGATGTAAGGCTGAGATAACAGGAGCCATGAAGGCTAGACCTCTGTAGCTAGTAGTTCCGGTGAAGTTATCATTTTTACCACAACCCTGGGTCCCAGGGATATAAAGGTCCCAAAGAGGAGAGAGTTGCTAAAGCTTGGAGTTGAAGTTTGGTATAGAACATGGCTGCCTTGTTTGCTATGTTGCATTCCCTGCTGCTGGTTCTGTCAGTGACAAGAGGAGGTTTCTCCCAGTGTTACACAGGGACTGGGTGTACAGGAAGTGTTGTTCCAGCAGCGAATCAGGAGGAGTGTTGTACTGATACTGACAATGGCATGGCCTTTATGGATGCTGGAATATGCACTCAATGCACAGGTAAGTCGCAAAACAGTGGAGTGTTAGCATAATAATGCCAGTGGTCCAATAACCATTGGCTTTGATCACACACTCTACTTCTCATCCCTTCACTGTGTTTAATAACTCACACAACGTTTATTAGCAACGAAATTGTGCTCCCAATTGTCTCCAGATGCTATATGCAGTAATGGAGAACTACGTCTAGCTCGTGATGATCGCCCAACAATAGGACGACTTGAGGCGTGCTTCGATGGTGAATGGACCAGAGTATGTCCCGAGGCTCTTGGACATAATGAAGCTAAGGTTGCTTGTGGACAACTTGGATATTCAAGAGAATGTAAGCAGCATTATTAAGACAAATAACTCACTAGTAAAAATAATTGCTCTTCCATGTACAGTTTTTAAAACGTATGAAGATTATGATATTGACCGACACTCACCAACTTTGCGCACGTTGAACTGTAATGGAAGCGAAGAGGCCCTGCTTGACTGTGATCATACTCGAATTGGATATCGCCGGTGCAATTCTTATGGCAATGCTGCTGTTGCTTGCTTCAATGGTAAGGAAACCTGTATAATACCTACAAATAAATTTTGCACATTGGGTCTTGTCGTGCAATTAAAAAAGTATAAAACATGCAGAAACTGATTGTGAAGATGGAAAAATGCGTTTGGTTGGTGGAAACGATAGAGCAGGAGCAGTTGAAATTTGCAGACGTGGTGTGTGGGGAGTGGTGTGCGACGATTACTGGGACAGCAATGATGCCAGAGTTGTCTGTAGACATCTTGGACTACCATCAGAATGTGAGCAACATGGAATATTTACAGAGAGTCAGTTGTCTATAGGGGTTTCTCTGCACCCCCTTCAGTTCCAAGAGCGATTACAAGATTTTCAGAAGTTGGTAGTTTTCTTGCTTATTATCAAAGGCTAGTCCACCAGAATCATGTGCAGTGCAGTGGAGATGAAGATTCACTCATCGACTGTCCTTACAACACTGACAATACCAACTTCTGTGGTGTTGCTGGTGTTTTGTGTTCAAATGGTAATATTATGTAGCTAGCCCTTTACCCACTGTAGTACAAGAAACTCCTATGATAGCTGGCTGTATGCACAGATTGCTAATCGTTCAATAGCAACTGTGTGCTCAATTTCAGAGGCTGAATGTGAAAGTGGAGACATACGTCTGGCAGGTGAAGGCGCCCAATCAGGCTATGGACGAGTGGAAGTGTGTGTCAATAGCACTTGGGGGACAGTTTGTGACGATGAATTTGATGTGTATAGTGCTCAGGTTGCCTGCAGACAACTGGGATTTCCCACTGCTTGTAAGGCACACTATTACGCAACCATATTAAATGTTATCTAACAAGAACTCCATAATGCAGTAAACGTCTACCGTGTCACAATACTTCCACAAGTAAAGTATTGCAAAGTAGCTACCCTCTGCTACTTTTTTCCTGTTTGAATAGTTCCTACACAAATTACTAACGTGCACGGAGCAGGACCAACACACATGGATAATGTCAGGTGCAGTGGAAGTGAGGTTTCCCTATTTGACTGTCGACATGATGGACCAGGAGCTCACAAATGTGATGGGCATTATCATGACGTTGGCATTAATTGTTCAGGTAAGCAACGTGTGCGAGAATACATAGCTATCCCCATTCCTATATAGGATCCCCACTCCCCCTCTTCCCTCCGCGTTTACCTTATGACATTTGACCTGGCAGAGTCCCCCCTCAGCTCTTTTCTTCTTTTCTCCACCATTTTAAACTCATGCATGAACTATGCACCTAATTTGGAACCTGTTTAACAAAATTAGGTAGGAAACATACCCATGTGATAATCATACTTTTTCGCTCTTCACTCAACATTCTCTTTAGTGTACATTACAAGATTGACAATGGTTTGTTGATTTGTCTTCTAGAGGAAAACATATGCGAAGATGGAACTTTTTACTGTTGGGATGTAGAAGGCGGGGATTGCTTACCAAATAACCACTTGTGTGACTCTTTTCGAGGATGCTCTAATGCTCATGATGAGTCCAACTGTAATAAAAGTAAGATTGATAACATACATACTCTCTTTATTACAGTAGGGGGACTTGTGTATCCACCAAAATTAGCTACTAATGAAGGGGCAGGTTGCAGAGTAAAATGTCCTTCTGACACGCAAAGAAAATTGCTTTCAAATTATCCTTGTTTCAGCTTTTGTGATGTGACTCCTTCATTTACGATTTTTGCCACTTGTATTATTTAGTAGTCCGCAGACAGTTCATTCTGCTTATCAGATATTCGGGATGAAATTCATTCACCTGACTTTCAATGTCCTAGTTACATGCAGTGAGGGCACTCTCTTCTACTCGTTTTCAATATGTAACGGAATAAATAACTGTGGTGATGGATCTGATGAGGAGAATTGTACCAACACAGGTAAGTAAAGCTGCTGTACAGGATTGACAGCTTCGGAATTAGCTGTTGTACATGATTGACAGCTCTTGAATTTTCTCACAAATAATTATACGTAAAAGAAATGATGTAAAGTTACACTTGAAACCATGACTTGATGTATATAAAAGGTTGAAGGTTGGTAGCTATTATATAAGGCCTTCACTAACACACCAGTCTCTGTGCTGCTACATGTACAGCCAACTGCTACACATGCACCTTAGCTAAAGGGAAAAGAGGTTTACCTTATTTGGTAATTGTCAGGGGCCAGAACTAAATTTAATGTCTGGTGTTTATTAGGGGGCTATTGTTGTTCCTTCAAATCGCGGGCGTTTACAGTAAATCAGCACTTAATCTTTATTTACACACCTGACATTGACGTTTTTGCATTAAACATAACCTATTTATGTCCCTCTCCCTACAGTCCTTGGCTTCAGTTCAGCATCACACATGGTTACTGAGGGAGATGAGTCCATAGGGCTTACAATAGCCCGACTGAGTGGGAACAGCTACCGTACAATTTCCTTTTACCTCCTTTATTCTCCTGGAACTGCCAATGGTAAATATACACATCTCGATCTCGTTAGGAGGGCAATGAATATTAATTTCTCCTTCCTCCTTCCCTCAATGCCGCTTTTGATGACAGAAGGTGATTATAGTTCAGATGGTCCTGTTTATTCTGTGCTACAACCTGGAGAAACGAGTGTGACAGTCGAGGTCCCAATAGTGAATGATGGCGAAGTTGAGGACAAAGAGACATTCACTGTCTCTTTCAGCCATATTTCCGGCTATGAAGTGCACCCCGATTTCAGCACAGCAACAGTCACCATCATCGACGATGACTGTAAGTCTCACGAGAAAATGAATGAATGACAATGTGGCATGACAGTGCAGGTTCAAAGTTCAATGTGCTTGTGTGTGAGTGTGTGTGTGAGTTCGATCCAGTACAACTCTTTGCACATTGTTATTCTCCTCCTTTTCTCAACTCAGCTGCCACAACTTCTCCCCCTACCACACCACCACCAGTGCCAGGTTTGAACGATAATGTGTGAATCCGAAGATTAAACTGTTTTTTTTGTGTAGGGAATATAGAAAATGTTCGTAGTCCTGGTTGTGGTAGGATGGAGTGGGATGCTGCAGACGGAGGTGTTGGAGGACTCTCCTACAAGATAAGGTTCTACAGTGGCCAAAGTTTTGGTTCCACTCCCTCATCCCAGAGGATTGTCCTCTCCTCTCCTACCAACTCTCTCTCCTTCACTGACCAGGATGTACCAACCCAGCGTCCACTTTATGCTATTGTGAGCTACACAGTATCTACTATATAGCACCTTATTAAACCTCTCTTGATGTAACTCTCTATATAGATCAAAGGTAGAAACAGCAACGGTGTGCATTCAACCTCTTGGTCAACACCAATAGTGGCAGCAGGTAGGTATTGAAATTACAAATTAAAGCTCAACAAAATGAGTGTTGTTGTTTTTCAATCCAGAGATTGGCTGTCCTTGACAGACAAAGCATGATCGATCATTTTGCTCTAACAGAATTGTTGTAGCTAGTGGTGATTGCATGTTAGTAGCTACAGTGACATTATTATTAGCTATATTATACTAAATAATAATACAAGTGGAATAATAATTTCTTCAAAATAAAGGGGGATATATAATTATATAGGGATGGCTTGAAGCACACAGTATAAAATGGCGTTGTATTTACCGCACGCGTTGATTTTGAAGAACTGCATTGATTTCTTACCGCATAGCGTTTACTAAAATATCTTGATAGAATGGTGAATAATTTTGAAACAAACCGCGCACCATATGAGGCGGTCCATGAGCGATACCAACGTTATCAGAACTACGTGAGCCTGACAAATTTTAGGGGATTTTCCGGAAACGACTGCATATGGCGTAAAACAAGCAAAAAAGCCAACGTGCAGTCTATCGCACACGCGCCCTCGCTGGCAGACTATAGCGCGCACACGTAATTGTGCCAAATGGGGATTATTTAGTCCTAGCCCTACCCTTCATATGGGGGGAACAAGCAATAACCACAACCCAGAGATAAAGTGGGGAATTACCACACATTCAACTACCCAAACCCACAGGGGGCACACCACACAGAAAATGTCATTGTATACACCACCAGAGTGGGGATGCCACCTCACAAGCTGTGGACTTTCAATAGTTGTTACTCAATCCTTTTTTCAACATGTGCCTATGTGGAAGCTACATGTGTGGCCTGGTTATCCAAATTCTCAAGTTACTTTTACAGTAACAAAATGCAATTAGCAAAAACTGATCAATGCGCTAAACAGGACAGTCTACTTTCTCGCCATCTAAAATAATGTCTAAACTACTTTATGTTCAGTTTTTAACGGCATGCACATGCATTGGGGCATAATGCCCATATAAAAATTAACATGTATTTATTGCATCGGACTCTTAGTCGTCATCTTTCAGTTCCAAAGTGGATAAGTGTACAAAGTTATAGGAAAAACAGATTGCTAATTGCCTGAGGCTGTTTGTTGTTGCTTACAAACTTGTGTAATTCATGTTTCAATGAACTCTTATCATAGTAAATCAGTGTACCAAGTTTCATTGTTAGAGGACCCACAATAGGCAAGTTACAGGCACAAACATCATTTACAAGTATTTATTGCCTGAGGCTGTTTGTTGTTGTTTACAAACTTGTAATTTATGTTTCGATGAACCATCACCATGGTACATCAGTGTACCAAGTTTCATTGTTAGTGGACCCACAATATGCAAGTTATAGGCACAAACATCATTTACAAGTATTCATTGCCTGAAGAGGGACACAGGATCTTTGCCTCCGGAGTATGATAACCTTAATTAATTGTTTAGTTGTCTGGGTCGCTGTGTTCGCCTTCACCACTTATGTATATCTCCCTGTTTACACATTCCAAGGTTGCTATACATTTGCCTTTATATACGGCTGAATTTTTCTGGTTCTGTACTGTTCACTGATGATGGTGACTGCATAGTCACCGAAACGTGAATATAAGTTTTTCTGACTAGTGTATTAGAGTTAACTTGAAGTTATGGATCCTCCTAGTCACAAAAGTCTTTTTGCAAAAATACATAATATTATAGTCACGCTAGCTCTATACCCAGCTGTATATACATCCAGAGCTTAGTGTCACTACGAGAGGACTTGTCCAGGATTTTGCCTGCGGAATTACAAATCTTATGAGGACACCCAAAAATCCTAAGAATTTTCTTTCATCTTGAGTGGGGGCAGTCTCTTTGTGTTACTATAGCAACTTGTGAGTGGGAACGGGAGAAGAACCAGCTGCTGTTGCCTTTTCACATAGTAGCATGGTTAGCTACCCTGACTGTTCACAAGGAAGTGAGTCAGATAGTCTGGCAGACACAAAGGCTGACCTCAGTTGTGCACACAAAATACCTCAGTTGTGCACAATCACTGGTTTTATCTGTGTTGCAAAGTCGTATACCTCACCCCATAATATGTAAGGCCCAGAGAATCACCAGACAATTCAGGGCTGCACAAAGTGAGTTCCACAAAAATTTTATCAGGGTTATAAGGTTACATTGTTGGAATTTTCACAAGCAGGCCTGTAACAACCATTGGCAGATGTTTTGCCTGTGATGTGGGTACATTGATTATACAATACCACATAACTGGCACTTTATAAGCTAGAATGCATGACCCTTTCTCCATCTTTTGTAGTGGACAAGAAAAGATGAATCCCACAATTGCCTGTTTTCTTATTAGCCTGCAGTTTACTGCTTCACTCTGTGACCAGCTGACTGGTGGTGTCTGTCCTGACTTCACTGCCATGTTTGTTGCAGGGATAGACCAGACTGTTGACGATCCTAATGTCCTTCTCAGTGATCCAGAGCAGACCTTCTTCAAGGAGATAATGGGGTTCAGAGATGATGAAATTCAACATGCTTTTGACGATGCTGTCAAATTCTTTAATGACAGATACGGTCTAGACTTCTCCCTCTCTCAACCGAATGAGCAAAGTGTGCATGTCCTTGGAAATGCAACACTGAGTCTGTTTCGAATCGTAGAAAATGTCCACTACCTGCTGATGTTGAACAACTGGATTCAAACTGGAAACACTCGTACAACGTGTCGGGAAATTCAATTTGGAGGGTATCTTGTCACCTTCAAAGAAGAGCAGCTCCTTCACGGCAGCTATGGAGGGGTGGATGGGATACCAGCTGGAGTGGGAAACGCACTTGAATATGGATTCATGAAATTTTATGTTTGTGACCAGAGCCCAGTCATCCTTCAATTTTCTCTGCCCACACCAATACGCCGAGAGCTAGTTGATGGAACAATCTTTATCAATATCGACCTCTACAATAATGTTCTTGGTTATGGAAAAGGGCTAGAGTCGATAAGTATCAAACCAGATGAAGACAATCCAGGAAATTTTCGTTATGTCACCCGCAATGTTATGACATTCCCTGCTAACTGATCTTAGTGTAAGACTGCAATAACAGCTAGCTCCATTAGTGTGATGCTGTGTACACGTACGTATTAGTAAAACAGCTCTGCACACACAGCGCATGCGCTGCGCATTGTTTGCGGTGCGCCATGGGGGCGAGGGGTTCGGTAGTTAACCCTCGGCGCGCATGCGCAGCGAGGGTTTAGTACTTGGTTTGCCGTCCGTCTGTCCGTCTGTCTGTTACCGCGTTTTCTCCCGCTATGCGCAACAAGACGCCCAAAAAGCGATACCAACGGGTTCAATGCCACACTGGCTTTATTGCGATTTCGGTAAAAATGCTGCGTTCGAAAGTTATGGCTTGAAAAGCAAGTCAAGGAGCTAATATGCAAATTAGCACAGGCTTACCTCGACCGCGTCCGCTCGCTCTGTGTATCTAGAAGGCACAAGAAGTCACAACGAAAGGCATGTATCGACTCTCGCATGCTATCTACTACTGTAGCTATCCCGTGCCAGACTCTCCGCGAGCTACTAAGCGGGAAACAACGAGTAAAGAAAACAAAAGCCCAGTCCATCAATTAATAGGGGTACCGCGCATGCGCAGTTCGCCGAGTGTTTGCACTTTCATCACTGGTGATCAACATCTAGAGAGAGTAGAGCTCCGTTTTCTGAAGCAGATACTACATTTACCAGCATCAGCACCTAACATGGCGGTTTATGGTGAGCTGGGCCAGCTCCCTGTTAACCTATGGTGGAAGGAGAGAATACTGAAGTTTTGGAACAGGATTTACTCAGATGATGCTCCTGCACTACTCAAAGCAGCAAAGTACCTGTCACTGTTCACTGCTAACTGTGGGGGGAAGTGTTGGGTTTCAAATGTGGCTACTCTCTTGAATACTGCCGGTTATGCTACTCCATTCTCAGAGTTTTGTGTTTTTGATCAAAACACGCAAAATACAATTATGTTCACATACCGTGACCAATTTATTCAAAGGTGGCATGCCAATTTAGAACGTGAACATAGCCTGACTGGACAAGGTGGAAACAAACTGAGATCGTACAGATTATTCAAGAAAGAGTTTGGCATGGAGCCCTATCTTTTGAATATAACTTCAGCAGCGCTCCGAGTATCTATGACTCGGCTTAGAGTTGGATGCCACAGTCTGGAAATTGAACGTGGGAGGTACCACAAACCGAAGTCGGTCCCAGTGAGTCAGAGGCTGTGTCACAAGTGCAAATCTGTAGAAGATGAGAAGCATTTCCTATGCGAATGTTCAAAGTATGAAAACCTACGTAACAATCTGGAACAAGTAATACAAGCAGCGTTTCTTGGGATATAAGTGGCTATCATCAGAGCAGAATTTCGTGTACTTACTATAATCTGATAATAAGAACATAAATGATGCAGTGGTACATTTTATTCATACCTCTTTTTTATTACATTGTACATAGCTTGACTAATAGCCTCCCTGGCTCCTCTACAAATTTTATTATTATTATATTAACCCTCGGCGCGCATGCGAAGCGAGGGTTACAGTCGTTGGGTTTTTCCGCTTCCACCATTGTATGGCTAATGCGTAGCTAGTCGGCCATTTCTTTCGCTGCGGAAAATGCGCATGAGGTTATATTTAGCACAGGACCGGGTCTGCTTGTCACAACGAAGGGCGTGTATCGACTCTCGCATGCTAATCTACTGCCCGTGTCAGACTCTCTGCGAGCTATATACTAGCGGGCATACTAATATACCGCGCATGCGCAGTTCGCCGAGGGTTTGTACTTCAGTGCTTTTCACCCTCGGTGCGCATGCGCAGCGAGGGTTATATATAGTACTTGGTTTGTCATTCCGTCCGTCCGTTAGCGGTATCGCGCAAGCGAAGTTCGGCGAGGGTTTGCACTTCAGTGCAACCCTCGGCGCGCATGCGCAGCGAGGGTTACGGTAGTTGTCCCGTAAGTGTGTCTGTCAGTCAGTCAGTCAGTCAGTCTGTCAGTCTGTCTTTTTCTGCGACTACGCGCAACGAGATGTGATACCAACGGGTTCGTCGCTACACTGGCTTCATTTTAAAAAGGCGATTTTCGTATAACAACTGCGTTCAAAAGTTATGACGTGTAAAGCAAGTGATTGCAAATTAGCGCAGGCTTACCTCTACCGCGTCCGCTCGCTCTGTGTATCTTGCAGGCACAAGAAGTCACAACGAAGGGCGTGTATCGACACCCGCATGCTATCTACTACTATATATACCTAGCCCGTGTCAGACTCTCCGCGAGCTACTAGCGGGATACCACGAGTAAAGATACAAAGCCCAGCCCATCAATTAATAATAATAATAATAATAATGGCAGTGACCCAGCGGGCATATGCACAGTACATAAAGCAAACAACATTGTGACAACAATTTATATTACTGTGTTTAAGGGTCCAAAGCAGTGCTGTATGGCACACGTGTTACATGATGAAGAAAAAATAGAGACAGCAGATTCTGCATTTATGAGAAGGGAAATAATATGATCATATGAAAGGTTATCCATTTCGCTTGGGTGGTGCACAAGCGTGTTCGAGGCATGAGGATGTTTCTGGCACCGCTGAGTCACATAGGCGAACACTGGAAACATGAGCTTGGACGGCAGAGTTCCTTGAAAATCGCCTGCATGATGCGAGTGCCTTTAACTCCTTGGTCTAAGGCAACGTCCCATAAACGGCGCCATGATGTATGAGTGGCCAACTCGAGAGGCTAGGCTGCAGCAGCTGATCCACAGCTTTGGGGGGGCTGAAGAGTAGTAGAATCTTGAAATCGGAGTTAAGGAGGTGTTTTTGTCGCTTCTAACAATGTCAGGTGCACTTTCAGGATCTGATAGTCATTTTGCGAGGACACACGTACCCAGGTTTGCTTCCAACATTCTGCAACTGTTGGACTATCGATGTCTCATATATATTTTCCATTGCAAGTGAGGAAAAAAACCTGGCGACTGGTGTGTCGTTAGTTCGTGATAGGAACTTGCTGAGAAAGCTGAACTTCTGATGAGAATACGGGTAGCGACATGTGGGCCAATGGAGACCGATAAGTACAGCAAGTTTGGAGTAGAATTTTGGCACTCGCAAAATGCGGCATCCAATCTCATGTTGGAAACTCTCTAGAGTATTGAGAGAGGTGGAGTCCAGCAACCAGGTCTCACTGCGTAAGTAGTATTGGGGATAAACAGTTCGAAGATACTGCATGAAGATAGGGGATTTAAATCACCCTGGAAAGCTCCCAGCCTCCCAAGAGAAAAGAAAGCTCTTCTGGCCTTGTTGACGTTATCAGAAACAGAGTATTGGGCAGATAGGTTTGAATTCCACCATACTCCAAGACACTTTGAGGCACTGGAGGTGGCGATGTTGGAATTGCCAATTTGAACAGAAGCCATATCGTTAGAGTAGGGAGAGATCTCACTACCTCAAACTTGTTTGTATTCAATTTTAGGCAGGAGTCGGAGGCGAAGGAGTTGATTACTTCGTCCTGTCTTGAGACACAATCAGATGATGCAGCAGTAGCGCGAAGATCATCAGCATGAATGGCACCGCCCATGTAAGTCCCCCTCACATAGAGACCATACTCACTCTCTCGCATTTGTCTCAGGAGCAAATCCATCACGGTGAGGAACAAGGTTGGAGAGAGCACACGAACCCTGTTTGACACCTCTGAGAAATGCTGAAGCAGCTGGATACGCAGCCATTTACTTCACTCTAGCAGATGACGTAGAGTACGAGTGCTTTAGCAGGCGCCAGAGTTTCCCATTGATGCCAATAGAGTATAGCTGTTTGAGTAGTATAGGTATCTCGACTGAGTCAAAGGCTTTTTCAATGTCATAGAGACACAGGAATGGTTTGCCACCATCGCGTACATGTGTTAGCAGTGCTTCTGCGTTGCGAAGATTGCATCCGCACATGAGAGGCCCTTCTGATAGGCTGTCTGGGCAAAGTCAGGTACACCTGCTCTTCAAGAAGCGGCGATAGACGCCGAAGGAGAATGATTCTAGTAACTTGGAGAGGTACGGATGAGAGAGTATTCTCTGTAGCTTCCAGGTGAAATGGGTCTTTACCTTTGCCTTTGTGGACTGGAATATCAGACCTTCTTTAGGGATGTCGGGATCCGTTCCAGAGTGATGATTCTGTTGAAAATTTTCTTTAGCCACAGTCTAAGGGTTGCCCACCAAAATAGATGTGTTCAGGTCGAGGAGAGTCAATAACAACCCGGATTTACAAAGTTTAGAGTTCTGAGGGCGCCCTCAATGTCTTCAAGTAAACTTCAGTGCCAGAAAATTCTCGCTGTTTAGAAGGATGAGAATCAAGATTCTGGGACGATTGACTCCCGCCTATGTAAGAATGAGGAAGATTTGTGATGATCTGTTGTAGCAAGGTCTTTGAAGTGATCTGAAATCGACTTGCAATTCTTGTGGTCGATGCAGATTTATCATTGGACCCTAGACCATTGCACTCAAGTTCTGGGATTTGAAGAAATTAAACGGGTACGGGTTTGGCTCCGAAATAGGGTGTCTCGAGCCGGATTTTTGCCCTTTTACTCCCAGGCACGCACATATGGCCACATAACGACGCACTTCTCTTTGTAATCACGTTTTCCTCATATAGGGTACCCTCACGAGGACGGATGGCGACCCCTACACCGGTCCAGGCCTTCTACTTTGTTTATGTAGGAGCTAAGCTCTGAGTCCTTGAGAAGGATTGATCTTGCGATTACGAACAGAGGGAGGAGGTGCCTGGGGCGGCTAGTGGCGGGTTTGCTGACAGAAGACTACTTAGCTCATGTTTTCAGTCAGACCACAGACTGGAAACAGCGTGTGAAAGTAGAGGAGAAATGGAGTCAGACACATCGGAGCATATGCAGGAATGAGACCGCGTCTTCCACTGATTTCCTCCAGTTTACATGGGTGATGTCCTGTTGATCTGGGACTCAGAGAGATTTTCGGCTCTCAAAAATAAAGGACGAGAGAGAGGAGATGGAGCGAGAGAAGAATTTAGGTCGTGGGGTGTCATGAGTGTTAGCATTGAATTATCGATGTGTATGAGGGGAGTGCTGACGAGTATGTAATAAACAGTTGGGTTCGGGGTTGCCTTCGATTGAATGAAAAAGGTTTTGTACCCCCAGGTCCTTTTGCTATGCAGGAGGAGGAAGCAATAAAGAGGGTTGGCAATCGCTGAAAAGATTCAAGGAGGAAATTGCCTTGTTGTTTGTGGGGGAATTTAGATGATATGAGCATGAGGTCACCTACCCCTAATCGTGGGACCATAGGACTCAAGGGAACTATTGACTGACACTAGGTAATTCCCTGTACTTGGATTATAATGTCAATTGACATGATCTGAGCTTGGGGAAAAGTTATGCACAGAAGAATGCACAGAAGGGGGTTTTTTGTTCAGGGGGTCGGATGTTGGAGAGTGAGACGAGGATTGGCAAGAGCATTCGATGCGGAGCGTTTATATTAGGTAGGGGGGAAACTTGTAGAGACCTTTTCACATTATGCAAATCCACCACCCACGGACCAGTTTGATGGTCAATTATAGTATGTTGTATGACCACCACATATAAAATCGAAAAAAGTAAGGATGAATGTTTATGGAGGATTGAAGCTTGATAGGCCACAGCAGTGCCAGTTATGGCGATGAATAGCAGGAAATTTACTGTAGGAGAGTGGTTGAGGTA